TAAGTTAGGTTAGGTTAAGTTAGCTTAGTTTAGGTTGGCAGAGGTGAGGTTAGGATAGGCTAGGTTAGGTTAGGTTTGTTTAAGTTATGTTGTATTCAACTAGGTTATGTTCGGTGTGGCTAAGTAAGACTGGATTAGGTTAGGTTAAACTAGGTAGGGTTGGGCTAGGTTAGGCTGGGTTAGGCTAGTATAGGTTGGATTAAGCAAGATTAGGTTTGGTTAAGTGAGGTTGGGACAGGTTAGTTTAGATTGGGTTAGTTTTTATTAGGGAGGTAAGATTAAGATAATTTAGTTTGAAGTAGGTTAGACGATGTTACGTTATGGTAGCTTATATTAAGTAAGGTTTAGTTAGATAAGATTATGTTAGATAGATAAGAGTACAAAAGTAGGTTAAATAAGGCAACTCATTAGATTACCTTAGGCTTTATAAAGTTTAACGTAATGTTAGGCCATATTCGATTACTTAAGCTAATATTAAGAAATGTAAGCTTATGTTAGATTATGTTCGGTTAAATATCTTAGATTAGATAAAATTTGATTTGCTTAGTAAGCATCAGATTTTATTAGACTAGTTTTTAAGATAAGCTAATATAATTTTGCCTAATCTTACATCATATCTGAAATTAAATCAAGCTATATTATTGTTTGGTTATAAACGACTTGGTTTGTTTAGAGGTTTATTTTAAAACACAATCCAGCGATTTGCTACCGAAATCAATTAATTTTCAATACATCTTAATGCAAGTTATATAATTTTTGTTAATAAAAAAACGAAATACCCCAACACCACCTTCTTAGTGCACTTAAGCAGTGTTTAAAATGCCACCGCAAATTCCTCTCACGTTAGGAAGTCTTCCCCATTGCCACATACGCTCAACTGCTAAGCGCTAAGAGCTACACATACTTGAACTGCGAAAATTGAAAGCAGCTGCAAAGACTCTTTGGCACACACACACACACACATGCACGCACAGCTTCTTATCGCTGCTGAACGCATAGTTTTCAATTTAAAACTCAAGAAATTTCATGCATAAAAAGTAGTTAAGCGCTTACCAGATGAGGACACCAAAAAATACATGCCGACATTTAATTTCCCATTTAGCTGCCAGCAGGCAGGCAGGCAGGCGATGTGGAAGGGAGGATTGGAGGAAGGGTGGAAGGAAGAGCACGTCAATTGTAAAATACGAAAATATGCAATTATAATTTACAGTTTCTTTGGATTTTGCGAGCACTGCTCGCCACATAAATTGCACAAATTTCCCGAGCACTGGCAACTTATGCAGGCACGATACTAAAAGAAAAACATGACCAAAGTTTTCATTGTTCAAGACAAAGTCAAGAAAAAGATAGTTAGTTGCCTGCCTCAGTCTGCCTCCCCTCAGTGCTCGGCTCACCTAATCCGAAGTAGCAGGCTACACTGCCAGAAACTTCAATGGACGTATCTTTGAGACGAATACTTAAAAATTAACTTGCCATGAGAGGAAAAGCCAAAACCCAGCCTCACGCACTTTGCACGCCTGACACGACGACGACGTCGACGACGAGACGCGTAATTTATGTTAAGCGTGGCATTTTTATGTTCAAACAAGCGCACACAAGCTGCTTATCATGCACGCACCCAACGTGAACCTCAAGCCCCACCCCGGTGCTCCTCGGTGCTCCTTCTCTGCTCCTCGCTGCTCCTTCTCTGCTCGTTGCAGCTGCATCTTTGGGCATCAACGGCAAAAAGTTAATTGAAACACACGCAAAAATTGAAGCGTAGCGCAAAATGCGAGCTGAGCGACTCAAGCAGTCAACAGTCAGGCTGTTGGCGGAGACGCTTAAGTTTTGAGCCCGCCTGCACCGTGGTTCCACTATTTATAAACTGTATTTTAATCCTATTTCTAGAAAAGTGCAGCATTTCAAAGAATTGAATATATGAGAAAAGCAAACAAATTAAACCACCAGTTAGGGCAAAAAGCTGCGTAATTAATGGGTATACTCTGTCCAATAACATTAGATAGATTGCACATTGTCAGATTATAGCACAAATAAACTTTTTAAATTAAAAAGCGAAAATATGCGGAAGTGCTCCTAATGCCGAGCCATTTCTCGAAATGTACCAGCTTTTCAATTTCGACAAATCTTAGTAGGGAGAAAACATTTTCGAAAAGGAGGAAGAAGGAGGGAGAAGAGGAGACAAGCTCAGCTTAAAATTGTTTCAAAACTTAAAGAAATAAAGTAAATATTTAAAAAATTTAATGAAAATTGAATTAATTTATTCACTGATTTTGTGACTAATATCTGATGACAAAAAGTTGCAAATTAAAATAAACGAGTACATTTTTAAAACATAAATACAATAGAGTAGAGTTCCGATCTTTTGATTTTAATTTTTTTATATACTCGTATAGCAATACGAAATGTTGATCGTTATACGTTTCAAGCAATGACAGCTCTGTTGGTATTCATTTGTTGATAGCTACGATTTCTGTGTCGAGCGTCAGAAAGCTACAAGATCCACGAAAAAGCTTAGATGACATATGCATATATAATGAGCACCTTTTAATATTTGACTGTACCTGACTCATTATATATAATGTTTTAAATTACAGCTTACATTGAAAGAAATTTAAACTGAATAGATACAGATACAAATACGACTAATACTATAGTTTTTCTTACACTCTTTATTATTTCTAGCAGTTTGGAAAAAACACTTTCTATTCACAAATTATTTTTGTTTCTAAATATTGACCAAACTAACTGCTTTCTGTCTATAGTCTGATTAAACAATTGTGAAAAAGCTAATATACTAACAAGCACGACGGTTTTGTTCTACTTGGCTATACCGAACATTATTATACGGTGTTCCGATGTGCTTTCTCTGTGCAATAAAATCCTTCAAGAGGATGTAAGCTGGTTTTTTAAATAGAAACATCTTGAATTGTTGAACCTTAATATTAGTATTAAGTACTTCAAGACCGCTCAATGAGAATTAACTATAAATTAATATTTTCAACCTAAGCATTAGTGTTATCAGTGAATTAATATTTTCAACCCATTGTTGGTACCTAAGTAAACGCAACTTGACTATAATTACTTGGATAGACACTTAAGAAAAAATTGTAGCTGGTATAGCTGCAAAGAAGACACAGCAGCAGTGTTAAGTATAGGAATATGTAATGCTAAGGTTTAATCCTTAAAACCCTAGCCTTACATTCGAACATTTTATTCCTATTCCTATAACGTCAGTTCCAAAATTCAGTTCAACGACTGAGGCTATGTTTTGCATTTCGAAAATCAACTTGTTTCCAAATGAGAGCAATATCTCATTTCTCTATTAATTTATGACTCGAATTGCACCCAAGCCAACACAGCTTATGAGCCACACTGTGCGCCGAGTGTTGAGGCCATGGGTAAAAAAATGCAGCATACATTTGAGCGCCACAATGAAATTTAAGAATGCACAATTAAATTATGTGAAAAATAATGTAAAAATATGCCGCACCATGACCATGACGATGCAATCAGTGCCACGCTTTCTGCTACAGTATCGCATTTATTTAATTAAGAACAATACCAACAACAATACAAATAATGCACAACCAATGGCCAATTATGGCTACAAAGTGTCTTCATTAAATTATAAATTCACGAGCTTAACATAATTTGCATGCCAATGCATATTATGAAGTACTTTGCGGACAACATAAAGATGAAAAAACCAAAACAAAAAAAAGTCCCCGTAAATTGCATTATTGCAAAAATATGAGGTAGGAAAAAATATATACTCGTACACACTCGTATCGGCATATCCTGCCACACATACTCGCAAACTCGTAATGGAGTAATTGCAAATGGCCGCCAGCCTGTTGACACCACATGTAAATTAAGAGCTATTAAAGCTTTGGTTTTGTTATTGTTTTCTTAATGCAGAATGCAGAATCACAAATAGAAAAAAACACAAAAATAAATAAGCAGGCAAAGCCATTTTTTATACGAGCATATATATACTCGTATGTTTAAAGTGCCAGTTTGATGAATCGACGCAACTAAGCCACATAATTTTCGTTTTTGTTTGTGCTTTTTGCCGCGATCATAAATTATTCCGTGCGATAGCAGACAAAACAAATGTGCAACAGATTTGCAAAAGGCTCAACAATAACGGTACAAACATAAATAACACAACAACACTACCAACAAAAATTTCGTATATTTTGAAAAAATAATGTATGGAACAAAATGTATCTACAATATTAAAAGATAAGAGAAGCAGTAGAGTTAGTTAGTAGTTTTTTAAATATAAATGAAAATCGAGGCTAAAAAAAGCCTCTGGTAACTTCATTTGCAAAAAAATAAAATAAAATTAATGATGAATGTTTTGTTTAGTTGAGACAAAAAAACATTTTTGGTTGCATCTTTTATAAAAATCAAAATTAAAAAAAAAAAAAACAAAAAATGGACAATCGGATGGATAGTAGCTGACTTATCGGTACAAAAATAAGAATAGCTATTTTTTAATTCTCTTTTCAGCTCGTTAATACTTTGGCAAAAAGATTTCAATTGTTGAAGCAAGTTTCCGGTAATAGTTTTCTATTTCGTGACAGAATCCACGGGTGGTATACGCGATTCAAGACTAGTTGTAATGGCTTCAGTGCCGACGAACTTGTTGTCCAGCTAATATTTCCGATTACCAGATTTGGAATGGACAAAACTCTAAAATTTAATCAACAAATCAAATAAATAAACGATTTATCGCCATTAAGACAAACAAGTGAAACAATTGCGAAAGTTGTGTTCTAGTTCACTGATAACCAAAAATTTGTACTAACGATCGGCACTTTTTACAAAAAACGCATCCTTTGCTCCGAAATATTATTAATTCCAAATCTATTTACTGGATTTAGATACTTATTCAGTTATTGTAGAATTTCCATAATATAAATACTTTACAATAAATGTTTAAAGCAGGCCCTGAATCACAAATCCTGCAAGTGTTCCACTTTGGATAAAATGTTTCTCATTTCTATTTCGACTCTCGTGCTGAAAACACTCCCTAAAACTCAACCTTCCAATATTCCAAAGCTGTTGTTGCACTACCTGTATTAAAGCTAAAGTAAGTTGAACTTGTCAGCGCTGCTTTCAAAAATGATTTAGCTGGAATTACAGTCGCGCCCCTAGCTCTATTACGTGGTGTGTGATTCAACGCTCCATAAACCGCCAGTCCCTGCTCTCCTCTTTCTGTGAGCTCTTGACAAGATGGGCTGCAATCCTGGTGGCTGCTGTGGCCTTCCCGAATGCATTCAGTGCACAAATTTCTGCTACAATTGCTGGACGGGAACTGCTAGCATTCCCAGTTGCCGGATCGGTTGCTCGCCATGCTGCCCACCGTACCGCGGCTGCTGTGGGGGACCATTTAATTGCTGCTAAACATGCATAGGCTCAGAAAGAAACGAGGATGTGTAAGGATAACACGCCCAAGCATTACCATATACAAAAAATAAAATAAAAGCAAATAAAGTAAAATAAATATTAAGTGACAACCAATGCCCTTTTTGTTGTATTTTGCAATTTAAAGTTTCACTTTTCGTTTTAAATTCTGTCTTAGTATATTCTCTTCCACCTCATTTAGCTCAATTCTAGATAAATAATATTAAACGATTAAAAGGAAGCGCCATTTGGTTATTCTTGAATGACAAATCAAAGAACGTTCCACGGACTCGTAGCTCAGAGAGTCCTCTCCGACAAGTTCCCCAACAAATGAAACTTGAACGAGCAGAAAACATATTTTCGCTTTAGTTTTGAAATAAATTAGATTAGAGTTGGCACATTAAATATATAAATATATTAAGTATGTTCTGTTTTAGAAACAGAAATTTAGTTCCATTACTGAAATTAGTTTTAATTTTCTAGAAATGTTTGACAACTATCTCAAAACTAAACTAATGTTCTTCTGCTCAGAATCTTCATAAACACTTTGAATGTGACTTAAACTCATTTGCGGATTGAATTTCACAAGATCACGTCTTCAGGCTGATGAGTCAGACATCTACTTGTAGACTTTCATTTAGCATGAAAGTTCAAGTTCATTCATTGTGGGTAGAGTTTTCAAAGTACCCCTTTTCATATAAATAAATAAAATCAAGGGGCGATCTCAAATCTTTACAAAAAAGGTATTCGTAAAATAAAATTCAAACATTTGATTCATCAACAATATTGATGATAATTATAATGCTGCTATTCGACTCAGGTTTAGTCTCAAGCAGTAGGCAGGGCTATCTATCTATCTATTGTTTTCACTTACACGCTCTTTCTTAAATTAAATTTCTTATTTCCACAATCAAACCCATTTCCTAATCCCATTTCTAGTGAAGCTGAAGGCCAAGTGCCGATTACAATCGATGGATTGAAAATGCAGTCCACGTTCGCCTGAGACCAGCTTAACAAAAAATTATAGATTGTAAAAACTTCCAAATATAGAGAGTTTCTCCAATTCTTCCTATATCAACAATTATTTGTATTATTCTCTCAATTATAACAATTTTGGGGTGGAAAAAAAATTACAATTTAAATGGGCATTTCATCATTACGACTTCCCTCTACTTTCGAAAATAATTTAAATTTCTGAAGTGAAAGAATATTCAACGCCTCTATTTAATTCATAAATTATGAAGTTAGGGAATCGAAAACGTTGAGAAAAGCGAGATTTTAGAAGCAATTTTTGAGCATCACTGTAGACACACTCTCCCATTTTATTTACGGGCTAAATTTTTGATGGCCCAAATAGGTTTTGGGGCACTGCTGGCCCGGGCATCGCACAATGGCCAAGTCGGGGCTTGGCAAAACAAATGAAATTATTAATTTGCATGTGTGATTATTTTTATATAAATATGCGTACACGTAGGCGAATCGCTGCCATGTTTTATTATGATTATTATTTTTTTCATATCCTTATTTTTTTTTTGTTCATTTCGTGGTGCCCAGCGGCATTTGTGGCGGAACAAAATTAAATTTGCATATGCGGTGCATATTTTCTTTACTGTGAGCAAAATGCATTATAAAAACACAAAAAAAAAAAACAAAACAACACAACACAAACACATGCATATATGCTTACCTACAATAAATTGCATTGTTTGTGCAACTTTTTTAGTTGTGTTCGTGAAGCAACTTTGTTTTCTGCATATTGAATTCAATTAATTTCTGTTTACTTTTTGTAAGGACATAAAAATTTAGCTATTATTGTGTAAATTACGGGGCGATTAATGCAATTTTAATGCGCAGCTTAACACCAAGTGTAAATTTGCTAAACAAACATAAAACGAACAAATATATTTGCTACGTGCGGACTATGAGTTATCGACAGAAGCGAAGGCAATGGCAACGGCAATGGCAGCATACAAATGGCCCGAATATCAAGGACCAGGACTAGCAGCAGCAACAACAACAACAATAAACAATGTGCAAACAAAACAATTTGTCATGTACCGGTAGCAGCAGCAACAACAACAACAACAACCTCAACCATAAGCCAAAAAGTGGCGCTAAAAATGTGCAACAGCAAGCCAGTTTTATGGTCAATGCCCAATGCCAGATAGATAGAGAGCTAGAGTCTCCCCCGCGACCGACACCGCCACCGCCAACGCCATCACTACCCGTACTTAACCAGCTGCCATATATTATTTATGACCGCAATTTCGTTGCACAAGTTTGCAGAGAAACAAGCAGAACTACCCAAAACACACGGCCAAGTAATAGACCCATAAAAGTGCAAATCTACTGCGACAACATGGCGTATGCGCTACGTGCTGGAACATGTTCTGACTTGCCTGCTTCTGGCCTGCCAAAATGCCGACCAGCCGACCAGCCGGCTTGCTGGCAGCCTTAAATTTAATTTATAAAATAAACAACTACTAGCCTGGTCGGCCAAGCACACATTCAAAAATATATATTTTGCAGCATTAATTACAACCCAGTGTGTGTGTGTGTGCATGTGTGCGTGTGTGTGTAATCAAACACAAATCGCATAATCGTTAGGACCAGGCGACAAGCCTGCCGGCCATCAGTTTTGCTTCGTGTACTACCTCTGCTTATTTATGCAACCCGCACACGTCGCGCATTTGGGCTAAAGAGTACAATGGTCTCAAGGTTCAAAATATTTAGAAACATTACACCTTACAACTTTGATTACTTTCTTGACTCTATTTTGAAAAATAAAACACTACTCTGAAGCTTGAAGAAAAACAAATTCAAAGGTCAGAAACAATTTAATTAATTTTAAATAAAAGATTACTTTTCGAACAAAAACGGAGAAAATATACCCTTAATTTTTAAAAATACTGAAGGAAAATAAAATAATATAACTAATATAATTAATATTATATAAATATAATATACTAATATTTAATATCACTACTAACATCCAAAAAAATAGCGTTAAATGTTTTCCAAATATTACAATAATAACAAAACATACATTAACATTTGAATTATAAATTATAATTTTTTAAGTTAATTTGAAAATCGATAATGCCTGTTACAGGGGAACCCCACTAATTGTGAAACATTTTCTCCTGCTCGATATCCATATAAACTTATTTATTTATAATAGATAAAAAGTACAATTCTAGTACGTGAAAACAGTTTGTTCCTTGTATAAATTAAGTACTTTTTAAGGTTAACAAATTTTATAATAGGCCCATTTAGAAATAGAGAGAGTTTAAATACGACACTAGAGTCCACCAAAGGGTCAGACGAATTTTGGTGAAAGGAGCCAGTTCTGGTTTAGTTTAGATGATGTTTAGAAAAGAAATCGTACATATCACCTATGCAGTTATAGTATTTATTATATAACACGGAACAAATACCATTAAATATCATTATTGCACTGAAGAATTACAAAGGTCGACTGCATATGAAAGCTCTGCTTGCAAAGAGAGAGCAAGAATGAATTGATCTTTAAGAGAAAGAGAGGTTGAGCTCTTAACAGCAAGCAAAATTTAACATTTACTTTACATAAAAAATAACTCTTCTGCAGGCCACTGTTCGATATTAAAAGAGATTCTGAGCTCATAACAGCAACCAGCACTTAACATTTAGTTTACATAGAAAATATTTCTTCTGCAGGACCACTGTTTGTTATTAAATAAGAGATATTAAAAGCAGAAGCTTCGATGCATTTAACTATTTACCTTTTGGCTTTTATCTCCTCCATTAAATATCATTTATAATTTCAATTAATTACTAATTACAACAATAACACAATTCAAGTACATGCTTAATTAAAACCTCTTGCATGAATATTATCAGAGCTTTCCTTAAATGCTTTCCGAAACCTGCTGGACTGAAAAATATATTTACCTTTTTGGCCTAGACAATTCAAGAATTCACTTAATATTAATTGGTTTTATTAAATGTTCGTAATTTTTTAGCTCATCAAATACATAAATATTCGAGAATTTTACATTTTTAACGATTTACCGCGCTCTATATACACAAAGTCCAGTTAACAGAGCTTTCAGCCATTTTCTTAACATTGCTGGTGAAGAACTGCGGAAAATATGTTAATTCAGTAAATCGATTGATATTCCTTTTTTGTATTGTTAAATAATTTCTGGGATTATCTGATGGATGGATTAACTGATGAAGCAGTGGATGATGGAGCTTGAATTGCTTGCATTTTTACTACTGCACCTGAATTTAAGTGAAATAAAATCTATACAGCTGCCATAGTGCCCAAAACTTTTGCACAAATTAACAAATTTTCAGCACACACACACACATGAACAGACGGACAGATGGACACACGGACAGAGGGACTCAGAAATAAGTTTTATTTGCCTATGTCGCAATTTGTTTATGCTGCGATGCATTGGTTGTTGGGCATTGTTTGGGCTTTTGTGGTGGCCTGAACGCGCCCAGGTGGGTGGTGTGGTGGGGTGGTTGGGTGGCTTGGGTGGCTTGGCGGCAACCACAACGGACAGTCGTGGCCAGTTTGTCGTGTGACAAACCCCAACCGCAAATGCTGCAAACAATTGTGTTTTTCTTTTGAGTAAATAACTCGACAGCACAGCACACAGCTTTGACACTCATTTTTTCGTTGTTGCCTCTTTTTTGTTGGACGTCCATGCTGATGCTGATGCTGCCATTTGGTATTTGCAGCTTGGAGCATGCGGCATGCAAATTAAATTTGCCACAGCCTGCGGCCTGCATGCCACTGCGCTATTTGTTTAGCTATTCTTGCTACACATGTAGCTACATACAATATACATAAATACTCGTACAACATTTCGGCATGTGCCATATTTATATCAAATTATGCATTTTTTGTTTGCTTAGGCATTTGCCTGCCGCATATTAAATTATGAGCACGAATTGTAGCTACATCTACAGATTTATGACATATTTTCTTAAGCTACAAATATTGTATGCTGTATACATAAATGCAAATCTTTGTGCTGCCAAACTAAACAAACAAAAATAATTACATTTTAAATGGGAAAATTGTCATGTGCTTAACATGTACACAGCGACAGGCGACAAATCTT